GCGTGTTCCGAACATAAGGTTCCATGTGCCCATGCCCGTACGGTCCGTGTATACTGACTTAGCTCCGTAATAGTAGTAATATGGACACTCTTGCATACAGTATATACTTTGGCCTGTCTAAGGGGCTTATATCTAGGTAATGTAGGGCCAACGGACACGACAAATCTCCAGTGAACCCCACAAAAGCCTGAACCCTAAAACACAAAAACCCAAGCCCTAAACCCTAAAATTCCAAAAGGAACCTTCAACGTAGAGGCATCCCGAATCCCCAAATCTTTGAGTTTAGAGTTTACGACTGGGTTTAGGATGTGGTTTGGGGTTTGGGGTTTGGGGTTTAGGGTTTGGGGTTTAGGGGTTTAGGGTTTAGGGTTTAGGGTTTCGGGTTTCGGGTTTCGGCGTTTAGGGTTTAGGATTTAGGGCTGATGTTTGCACCGCTGTCAGCATCCACTGCGTGTCTGTGTTTGTGCTTTCAATGGGCTGTAACCCCTAAACCCTAAACCCTAAACCCTAAACCCTAAACTACCAAGGTTGTAGCTGCTTTGCTAGATTGTGGTGCTACTTACAACAACCCCAGGCACCTTTCTAATATAGGGGCCTCAATAATTACCTATAACATTTTTGGGGTTCCTCCTTATCACTATAGTATAATATACCCCAAAACCTTATTCTGATTATTAAGGCCTCTCTATTATGCAGACCCCTCTATTCAACTTGAAACCCCGAATCCCAAACCTCAAACGTAGAACGAACCTTCACAGACACCTCAAGCTCTCAACCATTCAACTCCGAACTTCTAGCCCCTTGACCCTAAACCCGAAACCCTAAACCCTAAACCCTAAACCCCGAAGCCCCGAAACCCTAAACCCTGAACCCCTAAACCCTAAACCCTAAACCCTTTATGAGCCCTGAAGCCGAGACCCGAATCCCTGGATCTCGAATCCGACACCCCCACAGTTTAGGGGTTTAGGGTTTAGGGTTTTAGGGTTTATGGTTTAGGGTTTAGGGTTTAGGGGTTTAGGGTTTAGGGGGTTGAGGGTTCATTCAGGGTTTACACGCTAAGCTGGAAACGCTAAGCCTTTATGCAGGACCTTCCAGAGTGCAAGGGGACCTTGCTCCAGAAGACCGTGGGCAGCGAGCCTCTCCTACAAGAGTTTCGTAGGGTTTCCTTCAAGGTTCAGAGTTTAGGGGTTCGGGGTTTAGGGCTTCAAACTTAGGGGTTTAAGGCTAAGGGCACAAGGGGTTTAGTGTGATGGGTGTTTACCACTCAGAATTTGATTCGTTTTTTTCAAAGCTTTCTTCGGCGCCGCAGATATCCATTGTTCTGCTCAGCCTGAAAGAAAAATTGTATGGGAGCCACAACAGTCCAGAAACCACGATGGACGTGCGTGGTCGTTCGGCAAGTTCGTGAAGGAAGTTTAGGGTTTAGGGTTTAGGGTTTAGGGGGTTCGTATGATGTTTCCGGGGTTGAAACTCCATTCCAGCATGCAGACTTCTTCTTACAACACGTTGTTCACCTGCGCAAGTTGTGTTGCACACGCGTGCAACCGGAGCTGCAGGGCGACGTGCCGACCGGACAGTCTTCGGTTGGATCAGAGTACTTGGAGGATCTTGGGACTTAGTAAGTGGGTTATAAGTACCTTAATTGAGGTTACAAGTAATTATAAGTATAGTTACCTTATTTATAGCCTCAGTTACTAAGTCCCATGATCCTTTAAGTAAGCCGTTACGAAGTACACGGGCGAAAGCGAGAGGGCAAGAAAGACAGAGTGTACTTAAAGGATCATGGGACTTAGTAACTGAGGTTATAAATAAGGTAACTATACTTATAATTACTTATAACCCCAAGCAAGGTACTTATAACCCTACTTACTAAGTCCCAAGATCCTCCAAGTAGAGGCCGCCGAAGGATGCCTGCATCGTCATGGCGCGCTTGAGCAAGGCCGAAGTCGTTCCTTTTCTCAAACCCCCAGGGCAAGATTCGCATGCAGGAGGGCCCCGATATCATAAACCCGGATCCCCCGGCCGGGACCTTAGCATAGGGTTTTGGATATATTGTGCCCTAAACCCTAAACCCTAAACCCTAAACCCTAAACCCTAAACCTAATTAGGAACCACAAGGATTCAGGAGCCTCTATTAGCGTCTTCTTTGCCGGCTCCTCGGTGCATGTAAGTGCTTATAGGATCATGGGACTTAGCGTTTAGGGTTTAGGATTTAGGGTTTTGGGTTTAGGGTTTAGGGAACTGAGGTTATAAATAGGGCAACTATACTTATAGCTACGGTGCCTATAACCCCAATTAAGGTACCTATAACCTACTTACTACCTCCCATGATCCTCCAAGTAGGTGTATAGTAAATCCAGTAGAAAAGCGTTTCTAACCCATTCAGAAACCCTAAAGCCTAAAACTTCAAACGTTCTTCTGCCCTAAACCCTAAACCCTAAACCCTAAACCCTAAACCCTAAAACCTAAACCCTAAACCCCTAAACCCTAAACCCTAAACCCTAACTTCTGACCCTGTTTGTTTCGAAGAATACGGGCTTCCTCCATCAGCCCTCGACACTTTAAATGGCAATCCTAAGGGTTAGCGTGTTGATCCTTACTTGGAGGGTCGGAGGACTTAGTAAGTAGTTACTTTATAGACTTATAAGTACCGTAACCCCAATTGGGATCCATTTTAGGGTACTTGTAAGTCAACTTATTACCTACTTACTAAGTCCCCCGACCCTCCAAGTATGAGACTTTGCCGGGGGGTTAGGACCCTAATGTAGGGCTTAAATAATTACCAAGACTATTTTGGGGGTTCCTTACTATGATTAAAATATAGTATACCCCAAAAGCCTGTTCGAATTAGTAAGGCCCCTACATCATAGAACCCTTATAGTAATCCTTATAGAGCCTTTTTAAAAGAACCCTACCCCAAAACCCCAGTCTAATTATTAAGGCCCCTATATTTAACATGTCTGGCTTGGTGTGGCACCTTCTCCTGGCCGATTTTTGACCTTCTGGCTGTGGAGCTGTACTGCAGTTGGACCAAAGGGGGCTCACAAAAAAGAAACTAGGGTTTAGGGTTTAGGGGTTTAGGGTTTAACCGCAGTCCTAAATCCTAAAGCCCTAAGGCCTATACCGCCCCAAAGCCTTAACTTGTGGGATTTGGAGTCTCTGGAGGAGTGAACCCTACACCCTAAACCCTAAACAACCCTAGAGCCTATAGCTTCAAGAACCCTCACAGACTGGAACCGGAACCCTCACTAGACCCTAAACCCTAAACCCTAAACCCTAAACCCTAAACCCTTAGTTAAAGCATCCTTTCGGGCACTGAGGATGAGTGGCAATGTGATGCCTTGAGCGGCGATCGTTCCAGTGATGCAGAGAAGAAGTGCGAGAACCTTAGTGTTTTCTCTTGTTTGCTTTAGCTTTAAATTCGTTTAGGGCTTCGGGTTTTGGGTTAGGGTTTAGGGTTAAGGGGTTTTGGGTTTTGGGTCAATGCTCTCTTGTTGTAGATAAAGGGGCTTTCGAAAGGGTTTGTATTGAGAGCGCCGAGGTGAGAACAGCTTCGACACCGATGCAACGGAGGTGGCCGAGTCCATTTTAGGGCCTTCCCAAGGGGTATCATCGAGGTTAATGTCAAGGGGGTTAGGGTTGACGGTTGGTGTGTCGTTGGTTGAAATTTCTGTGTGCAGGACCACTTGAAATTGAGGCTCACGCGTTTCTGTGTAAGCATGGCTGCAAGTAAGTGCTGTTTTGGGTCAGGAGTCGTAACGGTTTACTTAAAGAGTCATGGGACTTAGTAACTGAGGTTATAAATAAGGTAACTATACTTATAAGTACTTGTAACCCCAATTACGGTACTAAGTCCCAAGATCCTCAAGTATTCAGGAGCTGTTCAGTAAATCTACCTTCCGAAACCCAGGTCCTACTGTTGATGATATGAATCCTGCATTACCTTAAGGACCCTAGACTATAGGAACCATGGTATATTCGTTATTATGGGTTACCTTAAAGAGCCTAGACTATAGGAACTATGGTATATTCCTTATTATGGGTTACCTTAAGGAGCCTAGACAAAGGGAACTATGGATATTCCTTATTGTGGGTAATGCAGGGTTTACATCATCAACCGTAGGACTCGCGTTCAGGGCTGAGGAGGCTGCTATCGCAGGCAACCCAAAACCCAGAACCTTAAACCCCAAACCCCCAGCCTCTGCCTAACCCTAAACCCTCAACCCCTAAACCCTAAACCCTAAACCCTCAACCCCTAAACCCTAACGATGAACCCTGACCCTCCCAACTATAAACCTTCAACCCTCAATCCCAAGCTCGAAACCCTGAACCCTTGAAGCCTAGACCCTGAACACTAAGCCCCTGAACCTTGGGAACTCTACACGCAGATGTCCAGCTTTTCCAGCCTCTCTTCCCGGAACATGAATTCTTCACTTGGAGGGTCGGGGGACTTAGTGGGGGTTTAGGGTTTAGGGTACTAGGCAGAGTTATAAGTACATTACATGGGATCTTAATTTGGGTTCTGATACCTTTAACTCTCTGTCAGGATTTAGGGTTTGGGGTTTGGGGTCTCTGTCCTAAACCCTAAACCCTAAACCCTAAACCCTAAACCCTAACACACAGGGTTTAGGGTTTAGGGTTTGGGGTGTCTGTCGTGACGGCTTGCCCACTTCCCCGACCCTCCAAACAGCCTGACCCTCCCCAAACCTCCAATCGCTGAAGCCGTCGTCGGGTTTGAGGTTGAGGGTTTAGGGTTTAGGGTTTAGGGTTTATAGGGTTTATAGGGTTTAGGGTTTAGGATTTAGGGTTTAGGGGTCCTGTAGACGCATCGTCTGACAAACCCAAAACCGTATTCGAATGCTTAGTGCCCCACGCCTAATTACGACCCTACGCCCGCAAACCTTTCAAACCACAAACCATGCAGCCCCATGCCCTCACTGAGCATAGCCGAGCCGGGGTTTACGGTTTAGGGTATCCCCCCGCAAGGTCGTCTACATGCAATGCGAGGTGAAGCAACGCACGACGAACAGGTTCAATTGCCTTGCGACGACGAATCTCGCCTTCTCGTTTGGGAGCTTGTGTCCATCAAGAGTAAACATGATGGGTACGACTAGTTTCTACTAGTACACCGTCTAAAAGCCTGTAATTCTTGCTGCCCCGAAATTTGGCAGGATCAGTGTTCTGGGCCCCTAAAGCTTGAACCCTACGTGAACGTTAACCCCAAACTCTTCTGGAGCCCTAAACCCTAAACCCTAAACCCGAAAACAGGTGCTCAAAAACAAACCCTAAACCCTAAACCCTAAACCCTCAGGCCTAAACCCAAACTCTCTTCCTGAAGCATCGAGCCGTCGACCTTCTAAAAAGTTGGCAGAAGCCAAAAGACCTAAGCGTTGCCATGGAAGCCTGGAAAGTTCGTAATACTATGCCTTAGGGGTTTAAGAAAAGTATGCAAAAATATAATGTAGGGGGTTCCTTATTATAATTATACTACAATATGCCCCAAAACCCTATCTTAATTAAGGCCCCTACACTACACAAACCCTATTCCAATTATATCAGTTCTTGCGGCCCTCATACGAGCCCATATACTCGAAGCCTTCTTCCCCAACCGTACAACCCTGAACCCTTGCACCCCAAGCCTTATTCCTTAAATCCTACGCCCTAAGACTTCTTGCGGAATGCTTCTCTGCCCTGAGCCCGCTTTGCAATGCGCCTTTCTGATTCGCACCTACTGCCTGTTATCTGTGTTTAGGCTTTAGGGTTTAGGGCTTAGGAATTTGGGTTTAGGGTGTAGGGTTTAGGGTTTAGGGTGTAGGGTTTATGGTTTAGGGTAGGGAAACTTTTATGGAACTCCAATCAAAACACATTCTATCAGCCTCGTACAGATCCCTTTAACACCCGTGGAACTCCCAGGAAATGTCAGAAGCCGACGTCTCCGCTGGTGTTCAGTCATGCAGGGAGCGGGGAGAGTTGCTGCTGCGTTTCAAGCTGTGAGGGTTCGGGGTTTAAAGGTTCAGGGTGCAGTGATTTCTGTTGGGTGAGTGTTGACTTGATCAACCCTAAAGTCCTAAAGTCCTAAAGCGCTACACCCTAAACCCTAAACCCTGCCTCCGCGACCACGACATCAAAGGGGCGGTGGTGTTCCTTCGTCAATGGAGGGACGTATGTCGATGGCACCTACGACACCTACCTTGCCTCCAACACCGATCGTGCCGTCGACACCGACCATGCCTCCGACACCGACCATGCCTCCGAGACCTGGGGTGAATGTGGTGGTGCAACCGAGTCCGAACCCGACGACGCCATACCTCATCCCGCCGGTTCCAGGACAGAACCACGGGTTGGTCACGCCGTTTGACGAGGATGGCAACCCTATCCCTTTGACCATTCCTCCGGTGCCGGGGTGGAGCCCTGAAGAAACTCCGCAGTACGCCAATGTCCCGGATGTGGATGAGGTCATTGAGGACGACGACGATCACTTCGACTGGTGTGCACTGGGATGATGGAAACCTGTGGGGTGAGCCATGGGGTCGTACAACTCCCTTGTCCACTTGGGCTCCTTCCAGTACTACCACCACATCATCTCAACCGTCTCAGCCTCCTGGGCGCACCAATGTTGGCGGGACGAATACAACAACTGGACTACCAACCTCAGCACCGACTGGTCCCGCGGGGTCGGGTTCTTTGCCCTTGCCGGGGCGAGATGAGTTGATTGCGCAACGAATTGCGTATCTTCTTCTACGTGACCTTATGGCGGTCCTGGATGCCATGGATGGGGCGGCACGTGGGATGCAGTTAGAGACCTCGTCAGATGCTCAGGCAGTGGAGGTGTCACCACATGAATCCGTCCCAGCACACACGGTGACCACGAATGCTTCATGCGAGGGCACCCTCCTGGAGGTTGACGTCGATGGGGATGTGCACATGAACCTACATGGAGTGCCTGGTGAGCTAGGGGATGGCACGGTAGTTCCTCCTGCAGATGGCGAAGATGTACCCGGGGTTACTTACGCGTCGCCGACAAGTACCGAGTGACGACATGTGGATGGGGTGCCTATGTTGACCTCTACGTCCTGTCGTCCTTCATGTCCTGGTTGTGGCACGCGTCTTCGATCGCGTCTTCGATCTTTTCGCTCAGTCATGACAAGGGTTGCGTCCGGGACTATGAGAACACAGGGGTCGCTTTGCTGTCTCACCCTACGAGCCCAAGGAGGCGAGTGCGGTCGCAAAAGTCCGTCTACCGTAGGTCAAAAAAAAACCCTACACCCTAAACCCCAAAACCAAAACCCTACACCCTAAACCCTGAACTCCGAAACCTAAACCCTATGCTAGTCAGCAAGCATTCTTCGATCGCAGGGTTCCGCTTCTCATGCCTTGTGTCTTAACGACTTGTTTTGCTAAATCTTCCTCGGTTTAGGGTTTGGAGTTTAGGGTTTAGAGTTTAGGGTTTAGGGTTTGGGTTTAGGGGGGTTCGAGCATAGAGTTCCCGAACACCAAGCACCAAAACCTTCTACCCTGAGGTCAACCCATCAAGCCCTACTGCTGCCAGGTTCGATGAGTTACGACACCCAAAACCAGCTATAGTAAGAGCCAGAAAGTTGGAACATGATTTTCCTCATGCCCTTAAGGTAGAGTATAAGGGATCCTAGCACCAATCCTCCTAAACCCATGTTCCAACTTTCTGGGATTGGATGTACTGTAGCGCCCTGCAGATTTGGTGGGTTCGTAAACCCGAAGCCATAGGCCACTGAAGCATGAGCACTCAAGGCCCTCAGACCCTAAACCACTTAAGCCCGAATCCTAAACCCTAAATCCAAAACCCTAAACCCTAAGCTCTAAGCCCTAATCCCTGAACCCTAATCCCTTTTCCGATGCTTGTGGAAGCCTTAAAGAGCCAGGGGACCCCCATCTTGGACCCTTCAAAACAATCCCGAAGAACCTTCGAAACACCGTTGTTTTTTCTCAAGTGCAGGGCTCCAGACCGGAAGCCCTACGCCTAAACCCAAACTCCAAATCCTTCATACATGAAAGCTTCAACCCCAAAGCACAATGTAGGGGCCTCCGTAAGTACCTATACTACTTCTGGGGGTTCCTTATTATAAGTATAGTATAAATAAAGGACCCCAAAACCTCATTGGAATCATTAAGGCCCCTACACAAAGCCCTAAACCCTAAAACCCTGAAAACCCTGAACTTTATCTCCTTCAAACCCTAGACCCTAAACCCTAAACCCTAAACCGAAGGTGAGTTCCAGTGCAACAAGTGCATGCAAAACGCCGAGGGCTCGAAGGCGGCCTTGCCGACGCTCGGCAGCGCCGGGGTCACTTTGTTCTTGGTTTTCACTTGCTTTGGGGTTCAGGGTTTAGGGTTTAAGGTTTAGGGTTTTGGGAGTTGGGATTTAGGGTTGTTTTTTTGTTACTTCTGTTGGAGGGGGGAGTCCGGGAGGGTTAGCGTTTAGGGTTTGGAGGCTTTTTTTGTTGAAGGGTTTCACGGCTTCCCGAGCTTTTGGTTTTGTTTTCAGTGTTTAAGGTGTTTGTGAGCTTGTTATGAGGTTTTTCAGTGTTTTTTGCAAGGGTTCTAAGGGTCTTATTGGATGGGGTGCTTCACTTCGGGGTTTAGGGCTTAAGGTTCAGGGAGTAGGGTTAACGGTTGGGGTCTACGTAGGTGCTCTCTTTCTTTTTGCTCGTATTCATGTTAAGTCGTTCTTAAAACTAGAACTAGTAGCTAGAACCCCTTCAGCTGTGCTCGGTGAATTTTGTTGAAGGGCCTTTTGTATGAGGAACATGTGCATCAGGACAACGGGCCCTTTCACCATATATGCGGAGATCAATCCGACAGCAGGAGGCGTTCCGGTGTTGGGGTGGTTTAGGGTTTAGGGTTTAGGGTTTAGTGAGTTCTACACCCTAAACCCCAAACCCTAAACTGTTGAGCAGACAGAGCACTGGGTTTCGAGGTTCGGATTCGGGTTCGTTGGCCTTACAAAGGGATGTAGTAATAACAAGGAGCTCTTCGTTAGGGTACGGCCAGCTGGTTACTTGGAGGGTCGGCGGACGAAGTAAGAAGTTACTTTATAGACCTATAAGTAATTATCATAACCCCAATTATGGTCGGCCATTGCAAAATCGATTATTTTCCGGCTTTCCCGGCCCCTTTTGGGCAGCTCCGGGTTGCGCCCCCCCCACCCCTTCTCGAGTTGGAGCCGGCCCCCTTCTTGACAAGGGTTGGACCTCCGCTTAGGGTTTAGGGTTTAGGGTTTGGCGGTTTGGGGTTTAGGGTTTAGGGTTTAGGTCCCAACCCCTTCACGACTTGCGCCAGCGCAGCCTCAAGAAAGCCCACTGCCTTTTCGGCATCCGCCAGGAGAGCCTTATGCAGAAAACCCACATGAAAGCCCGCCAGCACAGCCTCACAGAAAGCCCAATCNNATCCAGAAAGGGACAGACTCACAGAAAACCCACATGCCTTGCTGCTTGTCTCCTCATAACTCCGACAGCACAATCTCACAGAAAGCCCACTGCTTCTTCCGGCACCCGCCAGGACAGCCTTACAGAAAGCCCATAACAGCCTCATAGAAAGCCCAACCCAAAAAGGGACAAAAATCCCACATGCATTGCTGCTTGTTTTTCATTCTCATTTCCCGCCAGCACAGCCTCACCCAAAGCCCGGCACCCGCCAGGACAGCCTTACAGAAAGCCCACATGAGAACCCGCCAGCACAGCCTCACAGAAAACCCAACCCAGAAAGGGACAGACGAAAACCGACATGCAGTTCGATTCTGCCTGGGCCCCATTAAAGATAACGACCATCGCCGGGGATGCCAAAGACCCCGCTGGTATGCATAGAAGACTTTAGAACTAAACCCTAACATGCTTGAACTCAGGGTGGTCTTTGGGTGGGCTGTCTGCTATGCACCCTGACGTTACAAAGCCATGCGCTGACCAATCCCTGACCACACACACACACACACACCTGCACCGAAAACCCTAAACCCCAAAAACCCTAAACCCTAAAACCTAAACCCGAAACCCTAAACCTTCACTCCCTTTACTTTTCAGATGAACTGAGCTGAGGCTCTCTAGGTTTAGGGTGTTTAAGGTTCCCGCGTTTAGGGCTTAGGACTTTGGGTTTCGGGTTTCGGGTTTAGGGTTTAGGGCCTAGGGCTTCGGGGCTCAGGGTTAAGTGTTTAGTCACTCAGGAGTTCAACGTTCAGAGTTCAGGATAGAAGTCCTCAGCCACATCCCCGCGCCCAGAATCTTAAAGCTTGAGGGCTAAGCCGCTAAACCCAGACCCACCCACCTCGAACAGCGTCCATTAACCTTCAGCTTCCAACATTTCATGCGCTGAACCTAGAACCTCAACCCGAATCAGATTTACTTCAAGCCCTAATCAAAACTTGGTACGAATTAGCCATTCATGGGACTCGTTTTCGCCGTGTAACCTCTTGAATTTCCTACCAGGCCACCCTGGGGTCATTGGCTGGGGCAGCTCGGGCGACAATTTCGTCTCCCTTCGCCTGATCCCCTGGCATGGAAATGGTGGCATTCACCTGTACTGGAAGGCCAACGGCCAATTTGTGGAGCTTGCAGTGCAGGCAGACGGAGTCATCAGCAGTGGCTGGAAGAGCATCGCTGCAAGCTGGGACAAGAGCACCATCAAGATCTACATGAACGGCAAGCTCATGGGGAGCAAAGGTTACTCGGGTGCCTTCAATGCCGTGGACAAGAGCGGCTTTTGCGCCTGCGTGGGCGAACCCGGCCGCACCCATGAGGCTTTCCAGGGCAAAATGCGCCACGTGCAAGTCTTGAACAGGGCCTTGGCTGACTCGGCTGTGAAAGACTTGCCTATGGCTCATGCCGCCAGTGGTGTTAAAGAAGCAAGCTTGACGCCTCCGTTGGTCTTCAGCCATGTGAACAAGTTCCAATGCGGGAAACTAGGTGCCGATGTGGTATCTTTGATTTATCTTTCTTGGTGAACGTCGAGCCTTGATTGTAAAATCGTTCTGTGCATTGTGCAAAGAAAGCAAGACCTAGGAAATGCATGCAAAATTCCGAAGGTTCCAAGGCAGACTTGCCGACCACAGGACCCTTCACGATATTCGCAGAGATCAACCCCTCGGCAGGTGGACATCCGGGAGTCATTGGCTGGGGCAGCCAGGGCGACAATTTCGTCTCCCTGCGCTTGATCCCCTGGCGGGGAAATGGTGGCATTCACCTTTACTGGAAGGCCAACGGCCACCAGGTGGAGCTTGCAGTGCAGGCAGACGGAGTCATCAGCAGTGGCTGGAAGAGCATCGCAGCAAGCTGGGATAAGAGCACCATCAAGATCTACATGAACGGCAAGCTCATGGGGAGCAAAGGTTACTCGGGTGCCTTCAATGCCGTGGACAAGAGTGGCTTTTGCGCCTGCGTGGGCGAACCCGGCCGCACTCATGAGGCCTTCAATGGTGAGATGCGCAATGTGCAGATCATGGACAAAGCGCTATCCGACACAGAGGTCAAGGCCCTGCCCATGGCTGATTCTGGCGGCAGCAGTGCTCCGCAGCTCAAAGCTCCACTGGTGTACAAGCATGCCAGCAGCTTTCAATGCAACAAGTGCATGCAAAATTCCGAAGGTTCCAAGGCAGACTTGCCGACCACAGGACCCTTCACGATATTCGCAGAGGTCAACCCCTCGGCAGGTGGACATCCGGGAGTCATTGGCTGGGGCAGCCAGGGCGACAATTTCGTCTCCCTGCGCTTGATCCCCTGGCATGGAAACGGTGGCATTCACCTGTACTGGAAGGCCAACGGCCAATTCGTGGAGCTTGCAGTGCAGGCAGACGGAGTCATCAGCAGCGGCTGGAAGAGCATCGCCGCAAGCTGGGACAAGAGCACCATCAAGATCTACATGAACGGCAAGCTCATGGGGAGCAAAGGTTATTCGGGTGCCTTCAATGCCGTGGACAAGAGCGGCTTTTGCGCCTGCGTGGGCGAACCCGGCCGCACTCATGAGGCCTTCAACGGTGAGATGCGCAATCTCGAGATCATGCACAAGGCCCTGAGTGATAGTGAGGTGAAGGCGTTGCCTATGTAGCGTTTGCATAGTTGCTGCTTTAATAATGATTGGTGCAGGGTTTAGGGGAGTTTGGAGTCTAGGGTTTACGTTTGATCTCGGATCGGATCTAAGTTTTTATGTCTTGCTCCTCTTATGTGTCTCTGCAAGCTTCTCGTGGCAGACCTGCTGCAACCGACCGCTGACCCAAATGCAGGATGCAAAAATGCCCCAAAAAATCGTTAAACCCTCCGGGCGGGTTTAGCTCTCTAGCCGAAGGTCCCTGCCCTGACATGCGGCCCTAACGGTTTAGGGTTTAGGGTTTAGGGTTTCGGGGGTTTAGGGTTTAGGGTCTCCTTTCAGGATTCGATAAGGGTCTAGAGGATAAGGGTTCTGTCGGAGCTTCTTTTTGTAGGCTGTTGGCCAGCTGCACAAAGGCTCGACAACTCTTGGGATTGGGGGATAGCGCTCAGACTTTTATCGGGTTGGGGCGCTGGAGGCATCACCGATACCCGCCCTGAACACTGAGTCCTGAGCCTTAAACCCTAGAGCCTCAAACCCGAAAGCCCTAAACCCTCAACCCTCAGCCCAAGCCCTCAACTCTAAACCTTCAGCCGCGCATCACCCCAAGCCCTTACGCCATCGCTGCAGCCCTGGTTGGCTCAGGAAGGCGTAAACAGAAAACTCACACTAGGCCTGAGACTCCGTACTGGTTTAGGTTGGTTTGGGGTTTCCCCCTTTTTGCTCTTCGTTTCTCCCCTCGTCGTTAGTAGAAAAAGCCTTCAAAACCGCCATGGCTGCCATGATGATGCGCCCAGACAGGGCAATCCTAAAGCGCCAGGAGCAGGACCTGAAATTGCGAAGCCGCAAAAGGGGCCTAGAAGGAATCCATACGGGATAGCTTTTGGTGGTTTAGGGTAGGGGTTTAGAGCCTTAGCGTCCCTCTACACTTGGCGCCCTCTTCTTGGCTGTTTGCAAAGATTTTCAGAGTTTTATTGTAGGTATCTGTTTAGAATATGGGTACTGATTATAAGACCTCTGAACAGTGGGTCTACCACAAGCCTTACAATGCACTGGCACAACAGGATGTTGCGGGGTCTTTGGTTTTGGGGCTTTAGATTTAGGGCTCTACAGCCTTGTGCTACCGTAGGTTTTGCAGGCTTTGCATAGGGTTGTGGGTTTTGGGGGCTGGATATTTAGCCAACTTCGGCGATGATACCCTCTTACAGTCCACATTTAATCACTCTTGGAAACTTGATGATCTCCCTTATAGAGCTACCTACTCAGAATATGTTGGGGTTACTATGGCAAACTCCAGCACCCGACTCTGAGTTCAACCTTTCGCCCTGTCATTCATGGGGTTGGGTTTAGGGTTTAGGGCAAACTTAAACAGGAATGTAGTCATCACTATCATCCCCATCATGACCATGGACACAGTCATGGTCATGACCATCAGAACCCTCGTTCTCCTACTTCCGCTGAGTAAGCCCGAAACCCTACAACCTAAATCCTGCAGCCCGAAACCCTACACCCTAAACCCTAAACCCTACAACCTAAATCCTACGCCTCAGACCCTGCACCCGAAATTCCTAACCGGAAAAGCTAGACCCTCTGTGCTAAACCCTCTGCCCTCTGCCCCAAAACGATCCTAAGCCCTGAACCCATGAATCCTAAACTCCTAAACCTTAACCCCCCCAACCTCCTAAGCCCCATAAACCCCCTAAATCTCCGGAACCCTAAACCCTTAAAACCCCTAAGCACTATGCCCTAAAACAACCCTAAACCCTAAACCCTAAGCCCTAAGCCCTAAGCCCTAAACCCTGAAACCCCAAGCCGATCTTGGAACACGAGGAGTTTCATTACGAGACGCGAGTCGCCAACCAGTTGGACCAGTTCAAGGTGCCACCCCCCAGAGGGTTTAGGGTTTCGGGTTCAGGGTCTTTAGAGTGCAGGATTTAGGGGTTTTCGGGTTTCGGATTAGGTGTTTAGGGGTTCGGGGTTCGGGTTTTTGGCGGCTTAGGGTTTTGGGGCCAGTTTGGGTGGTTTAGGCTTTAGGGTTTACAGGTTTATGGTTTGGGGCTTTAGGGTTCAGGGTTTAGGGTGCGGACACTCGCGAGCTATCGCAAAGCAACTGCAAGTGCAGCTCGGGGTTGTATCAGGATAGGCTTTATGGTTCAAGGCTGGTATTCAGGATGTTGGGTTCCCAGAGAGTCCAATATACCCCTAAAATAAGGAATGTGGCTTAAGCTATTAAGGGACGTCTTTTTATGATTTATGCTATATTCCTCCTTTAAGGGGTATTGGGCTCTTTGGGATGAGGTTTAGGGTTTAGGATTCAAGGGTTTCGGGGGCCTGGAACTTCAACCCTGAAACCTAAACCCGTCAGCACCCGCGAAGTGCCGTGAAATCAACATCTTTGACCTCAGGATTGCAGCCGTCGGAGTCAAGCGTGGTGGCTGCGGTTTAGGGTTATGGGTTTAGGGCTTTTGCTACCGCTCCTCTGATGACCCTAAACCCTAAACCCAAAACCCTTAACCCTAAACCCTAAACCCTAAACCCAGCCGTTCCCCATCCTCCGCTTGTTCCTACTCCTACTCCTGCGCCTACTTTTACTTCCACCCTGCTCACGCTCTAACTCCTCCTCCTCCTCCTTCTCCTACTACTACTACTACTACTACTACTACCACTACTACTCCCACCCTGCTCCTGCGTGTTCCCGAAGGTCACTGGGTTATCGAGTTGTGACTTCGGGAGTGTGCGTTTTTCTTTGCGGGGCTCTGGCATTCAGGGTTCGCGGCTTCTAGGCATCAGGAGTTCAAAGCCCAAATATCCAACCAGAGCCCAAAAACCCACAAGCCACTGCCGCGCACGTAAAACAGAATCCTCAACCCCCAAGATCTTAGAGAGCCCTCCTAACCCTAAACCCTATACCCTAAACCCTAAACCCTATACCCTAAACCCTAAACCCTAAACCTAAACCTCTATACCCTAAACCCTAAACCCTATACCCTAAAGCTGAAACCCTATACCCTAAACCCTGTACCCTAAACCCTAAACCCTAAACCTTAAAGCCGAAACCCTTACTCTAAACCCAGCAGGCATACCGTCAGCTCTTGAGCTTTGGGGCGAACATAGGGGCCTTCCGAGTTGGGGCTTAGGGGCTTTGGGCTTAG